GAAAAGGAACTGAGAGGTGGTATAGAAAGTGTGACAGGACAGTGACTGTTTACAAAGAGACACTTCTCAGCTGAGCTTGAGAGAACAGACCATGTGACTTTCTGGGGGGAGCCTACTTGAGACCTAGGCAGTAAGTGCAAAGGCCATGGAGTTTGGATTAAACCAGGTGACCATTGTGTCTGCAGCAGAGTGCACTAGATTGAGAGAATGTATGAGATCTGGGAGGTTGGATGACCAGAATACATTGGCCTTATAAGTTAGAGTAGGTTGACTTTTACTTGGAGAGACATGGGAAGCTGTTGAAGTTTTGGAGCAGAGGAGTGTTACCATCTGAGCTACATTGAAATAGGATCATTAAGACTGCCAGGTTGAGAATAGATCGTGGGAGTTAAGTGTAGGAGTGGAAGGGCTGGTCCAGTGGATGGTCCAGACAGAACATGAAGGCAGGTTGTTTGGAGGGACTGGAGGAGGTGAATTCTGGGTATGTTGAACATAGACTAGATTTGAGGCCTGCATGGGAACTGTTACTGGAGATTGAAATTCTATTTAATATAGTGTGATAAATCCTATGTTAAATGTTGTAGCTATAAGTGCAGACACTTAAACTGTATTTAAGAACTCATTTCTTAACATGTGTCACGTGGTTTTTTCCTGTAGTGTTTACAGTTTTTCCAGCATAGTACTTTGAATATGAAGCCTTTAGAGACATCTCTGTGTTTAGTGTTTTTATAAAGTACATCTTTGTTCTGTGTTAAACTTCAGTCTTTACTTTCAGTCCATACTCAGAGGACTTTTTATTTTGATCAAGTTAAGTAAGAAAGGACATTTTAACATACATGCCCTCTTGCATGTCAATTGGCCGTGGTTCTTAAAAATCTAGAACCTGAAGTTAGAGTCCTGGGAGAAGCCTATTTTTTCTGAGTCTCTTGCTGCTGCCATGAACATGAAAATGATCTGTAGTGTTAGAGGAGAAAAGCAAGATGAGTTTTGTTTTATTTTATTTTAGCATTTCATCAGCTTCATGGTCTTGTCTTATTATGTCATCAATTCGATAATTCATGAATATTACCTGAACTGATATTTTAAAATTTCTCTATATCCCACCACATTTCAGAGAAGAGTTAAGGCAGTTCATAAATCTTTTGTAAAGGTAGCATGAAGAATGGTTGTCACCGTGCAGCAGTGTGGCACTCTTAATTGCCACATGTGTTCAGAGTGGGTCCCATTTGGGCCCTAACCGGCCACACTAAATACCCCAATAATTAATTAGTGGTCATTTCCTGACCAGGGTGAGGTGTGGTATTTCACACAGTCCTATTCCATGCTTCAAATTTTGCATGTTCCATACAGAAAACATAGAAAGATGAATAGAAATCATATCACTTAGAAATACCTCATCTTTAAAAATTTTGGTTCCTGTCTTTCTATTCACCTGACATAGAAATTCATAGGTAAGTATTTTGTATATATACAGAAAAAGTAATCAGTGTGCCAGCTTTAATAAATTTCTTACAAGCAGAATATTATTCTGCATTTTTGCCTATTAAATAGTATTCTTTAAGAATATTCTTAAAAAAAGAATATTCTTAAAAATATGACTAATTTTCTATTTTATGATATGTTTATTAAATTTCATCTTTTGGAATATTTAAGCTATTACTAATGGATTACTCTTGGAAACCACACTATAGTAAATGTTGTGGCTTCATTTTTACTTATACATCTTTTTAGTTGAGGACATTCCTAGCTGTATTTCTATGCTTCATGGGTATAAAGTTATTAGAAGTTGAAGAGATTGGAGTTGGAGAGATTGAAGAATTATTTCACAGTTAAAGAAATTGAATAAATTGGGATGTATAATGTCTGCTATGTATTGTGGGTTGGGCAAATGATGGTTAAGAGATTGGATAAGAATGTGTTTATTTTTTAGTGCAATTCCTGACACATAACAATAGCTGGAGTTATTGAACACTGCTAAGTGGTAAGCACTGTATACTTGTATTAATTATTTTAATCTTTACTACATTTTTAAAATCTTTACTACAATTATATGAGTACTACTAGTAATCCTATTACATTGATAAGAGAACTGAAGTTTTGAAAGGTTAAGTTACTTGCCCAGAGTTACACAACCAGGATTCAAAACCAAATGGTCTGGCTGCAGAGTGCAGTGCTATTACCGCTACCCTGAACAGCCACAGTAAATGTTGGCTCAGTGTTTGTACAGGAAATGCTAATTCACTTCACAGCTCTATAATCCAGGGGTGGTTTGGGTTCCAGGATATTTTGGATTTTTATTTATTTATTTTTTTAAAGATTTTATTTATTCATTCATGAGGGACACAGAGAGAGGCAGAGACACAGGCAGAGGGAGAAGTAGGCTCCATGCAGGGAACCCGATGTGGGACTTGATCCTGGGTCTCCAGGATCACATCCTGGGCTGAAGGCGGCGCCAAACCGCTGAACTACCGGGGCTGCCCTATTTTGGATTGTAGAAAGATAATTTAGTGCATATGCTCTTGTTTACATAGGACTCGTGTTGGGGTTTGGAGCAGCACCTCAAAAGCAGATGTGTTAGTGTTTCTGCAGTGAAGCGTATTTGTCTTTATACTAAATGAAAATAAAAAACCAAAAACCAAAAAAAACTGTAATTAGCCTAATGTCAGTACCTGCTGCCAAGTGAATTATGAACATCTTTTGGCTTTAGAATTGCAGGTAAGGGATTGTGAACCTGCATAAAACCCCCTAGGAGAGTATCTGGCATTTAGAGCACACTTAGTATGTGTTCATGGGTACTACTAGTACTCCTACCAGTTACCAGATACATACTCAGACACAGAGAACTAGTGATATGTACAGCTAGGAGTACTCTTCTCACAAGGACCTGAGGATGGGAAATCTTAAGTGTTAGAGTCTTTCAGCCATTCCTCCCTAAATCAGAATGAGGATGGCTTAAGTGATAGAATCTCTTCCTTGTCCTAAATGTAAGCATGTTGAGCTCAGTCAGTGCTCCTGTTTGCTTACTTTCAACATATAATGTGAGTCTACAGAGCAGCTAAACTTGTATTTCCAGCCTTTCAGAGGATTTGGTGAAACAATGTTTCAGGTTTTTCCTTGCTCTCTATCATAGACTCCTTTATTTTACCCCCATCTTTATTGAGATGTAATTAACATGTAACATTATGTAAGTGCAAGGCATACAAAGTGATGATTTGATACATGTATATGTTGCAAAATGATTAGCAGAGTAAGGTTAATATCACTCACAGAATTACCTTTTTAAAAAATTTGTGGTGAGAACATTTAACATCTTTTTTTTTTTTTTTTAGCAACTTTCAAGTATATAGTAAAATACTGTTAACTGTAGTCACCATGCTTTATATCACATCCCCAGAATGTATTCATCTTATAACTGGAGCTTTGTACCCCTTGACCAACATCTCCCCATCTTCCTCAGCCCCTGGCAACCCTCATTCTAGTCTGTTTTTATGCGTTTGACTCTCAGATTCCATATGTAAATGAGATCATGCAGTATTTATTTTTCTTTGTCTGGCTTATTTCACTTAGCATAATGCCCTCCAGGTTCATCCATGTTGTCGTAAAAGCAGGATTTCCTTCTGTTTTTATGGCTGAATAATATCCCATTGTATATGTGTGCCACATTTTCTTTATTCATCTGTTGATGGACATTCAGGTTGTTTCTGTGTCACGGACAGTCCTCTTTCTTTGAGCATGAAGCAATGGGAGAACAATTTAACTGACCCATCATTTCTGTAGATAGGACCAGAAATGACTAAGACTGAAGTGATTGCACTTGAAATCTAGATACCCGTCTTCTTTCCTACCATTTTAACTGTGAAAAACTATAATCACAAGTCATTATAACCATTTATGACAATTACCAAGAAATATCCTAGTTTATATAGTATTATACAGTAGTTTTAATTATATAGTCATATTACATTTATTGTAATTTAATCCAAATATAAATTTATTAAATGTTCCTAATATGTACATTTGCCATTAAGATTTTAAAAATTTCAACACTTGAGTTTAAACCCAGTCTCCATCCTTGGCAGGATCCCTTTGATCTGTTTGAAGACATGCTGTATGTAGTTTGTTCTCTCTTGCCACATGTTAGGGTATTTGTCTTCCTCATCCTGGCCCCCAGTGACTGGAAACAACCTTGATTCCCCCTTCTGCAGTGCTATCTCAGCCTTGCAGCATCCCCAGTGAGCTGGAAGGGCCCTTGGAGATCAGCTAGTAAAACCAAAGCAGAGAGGTAAAAACAAATGGAGTCAGTTTGTTGAGGCTTATTTATTTAAATTTGACAGTTTTTTGATCCATAACTGAATTACAAAATACAAAAATATTTGTTCCTTTTAATGTTGGAAAGGAATGTGTGAAGTCTGCAATTTTGTAGAGTCATTAGCCTTAATTGATCTTCGGGGGTGTTTGTGTGTGTGTGTGTGTGTGTGTGTGTGTGTGTGTGAGAGAGAGAGAGAGAGAGAGAGAGAGAGAGGTGGGGGGTTGTACAGTGGGTAAGAATATGTGGTGTGAAAAATAATATCATTTTCAGTTTATTTTATACTATTTGATTCCCACAAAACGTACTTGTTTTGGCAGCTGCATTTCCTGTAGCACTGTGTTGGAATTTGGCATGCAGTACTCAGTAAGCTCTGGTTACTTCAGTGTTGTACATTTTGGTCAATTTCCTAGTGACAGTAGATGTCAAGTTAAATTCCAGAGCAGAGAACTTGAAGAAGAGGATGTAACAGTGATACAGGGTTAAAAATACACTTAACATGTTTGGCACATGTTGACTAATGTCACCTTTTCAACTGACAATATTATTTGATTTTGGAGCTTAGACTATGAACTGCATGGAAGTCATTGATAATGTTGGTATTTATTTTCTTACAGAGAGGAAAAAGGAAAATGGATGACTGAAAAAGTTTTGTTACATTGTCGTATTTTAAAAGTTGTCTTTCCTTTTCTAGGTTGCTGTAGTGAAACTAAAAAATGCAGATAAAGTATTTGCCATGAAAATATTGAATAAATGGGAAATGCTGAAAAGGGCTGAGGTAAGATTCTGTTTATTGGAATGTTTAATGTTTCAGAAGTAATTTTAGAGACCTATAAAATTATAGATATCATTTACTAACATTGTATCTATGGTGGCATTTATTTTTAAGACGTATGAGATAAGTTCTACAATTTACAATTGTGACAGAGTAATGATAAAAGTTATAATGCATAAAAAATAAACATAAAAAGTTATAATCTGTGATGCTTATTTCATATTGTCTGAAAACTAAATGTGGGACTTGTATATTTTGTGAAAAGGAGGTGTGGAAACCAGTTTATTTTATAGGGAGAAATTTTGCAATAATGGATTTCCAACTTGATGTAACTCGTTTATATTATTCTGTATTTATCTGTGTTCTGCTCAAAGTGGAAGTCAACAGGAGTTTTGAATGTGCCCTCTAAGAATTCTCTTTATTGCTAATTATACAGTTAAATGTATATTTTTTATATTATGAAAGGATGGTAGCAAAATCTATTGCAAGAATTGCCAGTGTTTTTATGTTGATGCTAGATATGAGGGAATGATGGGAGTGATGTTAAAATTATCTCATAGCTGTTATGCTATGGTCAGAACTGACGTTACGCCTAGATTTGGGAAGGGATTCTGGGGGTCTCCTGCTCTGTGAGATCATGGTGAGTGGCCAGACAGGGTCCTCAGGGGCCTCAGTGTGGAAGTATTTCAGTATTTGAATTTGTAGGAGGATCATACTGTTGTGTAGACTGAACATTAGCTCTGGAAGTAAGATTTCTCTAATGAGAAATTAGCCCTTAGAAACCTTTCTTTATCCACCAGTACTGGTAGCAGCAACCTGGGGGGCAAAAAAAAACCCTGAACATATAGAGAAAAGCAAAAATGGTTCCCTTGGTGATAGATGTGGCAGTAGTAAAATACCTCATCTGTTTCTGTGGAGAAATTTGAAAAATGTAACAAAACTTGAAGTGAAAGCTAATCATTTATGTTCCATCATGTAGAATCGATCACTAACCTTTGGGGCAAGTTTTTGCTTTCAGCTTTGTCTTCTGTGAGTCTCCTGACAAAACCTGCACAAGAGAAGTACACATAGAGTATTTATAAAAACGAGTGGTGCCACGTTACAGATAAAATAGAAGCCCTCTCTGAGTCCACCCCATGGGGTGCAGCCCCTCCCTGCCTCCCAGAGGTAGCCTCCCTGGAACAGTGTCCTGATGAGAAAAGTATTTGGAAACTTTTACATCACTCTCTGGCATTATTTTGACTCTATTGAACTTCCTTAAGACTAAATTGCCTTTTGTCACTGGTTGGATTTTCCAGGAAGCCCATAGGGAGACTGAATTAGGGTGTTCTTCTGAAATGGCTGTTGATAGAAAGGTGAAACATCATGTTCAGGGGGAAGTCAAGCTGTCTCACGGGGAGCTGTGGAGCAGAAATGGTCCTTCGGAGTCCCGCCTGAGGCCCATGGACTGACCTTTTTCGCACCTGCCTTATTCATTCATGGACTCTGGGCCATCCACAGGAGGACATAACCTTGGGATCGTAGAGCACTTGCAGCTGAGGTAGAGCCTGCAGGTGCTGGCAGCACCGCCAGCAGCTGGAGCAACAAATATTATTAGTAAGAAATAGCAAATAAGTCTGTTCTAATTGTTTCACAGAAATCATAATTGTAGTAAGCTTAGTGTTTCAGCATTAGAAGTTTTTATGAGTTAAAATTTGTGCTATTTTCTATGAAGTTGGTGTTGGGGAGAATTAGAAGAAAAGGAAGGATCACAGGGTTAGCTTTCATTACAGAAGTGGCAAAGTTGAAGATAAGGAACAATTGGAAATTAAATTATTTTATTGAATTAAAAACCATTAATATATTCTCTTTCTGGGATGAGATGGAATAGGTATATTTCTTCATATTCCTCCCACTAAGTACAGTTTTAGAGACCCTTGACATTTTATATATAAAAGAAATTTTTTTAAAAATTTTTTTTATTTATTTATGATAGGCACATAGTGAGAGAGAGAGAGGCAGAGACATAGGCAGAGGGTGAAGCAGGCTCCATGCACCGGGAGCCCGACGTGGGATTCGATCCCGGGTCTCCAGGATCGCGCCCTGGGCCAAAGGCAGGCGCCAAACCGCTGTGCCACCCGGGGATCCCTATATAAAAGAAATTTAAGGAGATTCTAAAAGGCAGGAGAAGGTGGACCTTGGGGCCTGAGGGCAACACTCATTCTGTGTTATTCCAATAGAGAAACCAAATAGGGACCATACAAAGAAAATTAAAGACCACAGTGCTTTGTGAACATAGATACAAATATCCAACATGTTAGCAGATAGAATTCAGCAGTGTATGAAAAGACTTGTGCATACACCATGACCCAGTGGCATTTACTTCAGGTATAAAAAGGCTAGTTCGATATTTGAAAGGAACCCTCCTCAAACTACTTGAAACTTTCGTCTTTTAGGAAGAAATTCTACATTAAAATTTTTACAGAGAGATTCATGTAGGAGTAGAGTAGAGTTGTATTTCTATGCTTGAGTTATCAAGTCCTTTTTTAAATGTTTTAAAAAAAAAACCCTGTTCTGACCATGATCTGGCTTTGGAAAACTGGGCCTACCAGTGATGCTTAATCACTTACAGATGAGCAGCAAAATGTCTCGATTTGTAACCTGTGTGTTGTTGATGCTTTATACACTTTTTCAAAGACATACCTCCAACCTTTTTAGCTGTATTTATTTCCATTTAAGGCATATAACAAATATAGAACTAGTGGGACATGCATTATTTGAAGGTAGCAGGATACCTTCTCTCTTTCTATTCCTGGGTGGCTGAATACCTGCTAACTAATTTTACAGGTGCAGAGCCGCCTGGCCCTGCTGTTGATCATTTACAAACTTGGTTAGTGTGTCAACCATCCCTTCTTGTCTCCTCATCTGTGACAGAATCTGAAGAAGCTCTGTGACCTCCAGTAACCCTTCCTACATATTTATTACATTCTTATATATTCATATTCTACTTTTAAAGGAGGATATTAAAAAAAATTTTTAAAGGTAGAAATAGACATTATTATAGCCTTTATCCATGTGGAGCCCTCAGTATAACTTCATGAACTTTGTGGTATGCATGCATTGTGGTTTGGTTAATATTGATTTAGAACAGGGTTTCTCAGCAGTGGCACTTATGACATTTGGGGCCAGATGATTACTGTAGGGGCTGTCCTGTGCATTGTAGGATGTGTAACAGCATCCCTGGCCTCTTTCTAGTAGATTGCCATTACCCTCACATCCCCTAGTTGTGACAGCTGAGGACCATGAGACATACTGAAGCAGAAAAGAACATGATGCTGTACATCTAAATTCAGTATCTGAGGCATCATTATGGATAGTTTAACACCTAAATACTTAGGGATAAAATTGCATGACGTCTGGGATTTGCTTCAAAAAAAGAAAAAACCCTGTGCATGTGTGTACATGTGCATGCACACACATGTACATGGAGGGAGGGTCATGGTATGTGAAGGGTGCAGTACTGGGTTTGAGGAGGTGAGGGTGTACGTGATGAAACCAGATTGAACGGTAACATCATTGTTGAAGTTGGCTGGTTGATGAGGCCATTGTGGGAAGGAGGTGCTTTTACTCTTCTCTCTTGTATGTGTTTGAAGTTTTAGGTCATAGCTTATATTTTAATTTTTTTAATTTATTTTTTCACTGAAGGGTTTGGAATAGATGAGAATGTACTAAAGTTTAATCTATTGACAAAAAAGTCTTTGGAGCTTTATTGAGTTTGGAGCCACCAATCACGTTTATTAGAATTTAGCTAGAATGTCTGTGAGGTTTCAGAAGGCTGTCATAATAAGATAAAGCCAGGAGAATGGAGGCTTTCTGGGCTCTGACCATCTTTACCCCTCTCAGAACCATTAGTGGCAAACTATAACCCAGGTCACTAAAATTGTAAAACACAATTTAGCAGTGAGTGTGTCAACCAGCATGTAATGCTGTGGATTTAGATAGTTGAATTGGCAGGTAAAACTGCCCATTTATTTGGTTTAAGCTTTAATTGTTTTAAAATTTTTCTCTGGTGCTATTTCATGCATGACTTTTGGAAGTTCCCATCAAATAAAATTTATGGGAATACCTGGAAAAATTAAGGTACCTAATTAGGGTAAAATAATGTTGATAGCAAACATAATTATTAATTTTTTAATGGGAATAAGTAAGTATTTCCTGTAGATAGGATACTGTGTGATGATTTTTCAGTGTGCATGGAATATCCTGCAGCCATGAAGAAGAGGTAGGTGGGTCTCTGTACTGGTGTGGAAAACTGTTCAGGTATACTTGAAACTGTTCAGGTATACTTGAAAAAAGAAACTTATGGAGCACTATGATCTGATTTGTGTGAAGAAAAGAGGTACCATATGAATATTGTCTGTGTGCATGTGCGTGCTCATGTTCATGCTTACAGAGAAATTTTCTGAGAAAATACTCAGCAGAGTAGCTGGTGGTGACCTCTGGACACCCGTGACAATGTGAGTATGGGGCTGTTTTTTGTTTTTTGTTTTACTTTACCTGTCAGTTCTTTTTGAGCTTGCTGGCATAGTGGGGTTTTAAAAATTGAAACCTTGAAGATGATAAATTATAGAATTATAGTGTATCATATAAAATTATTATTGTTAGCCATACATTTCTAAGGTTCTCAGAATGTACCCTTATAATAGTGGAAATAGGGTTTCAGAATTAAATTAAAACTTTTACAAATCAAAAAGAAAAAGATAATTCATTAGAGAAAATGGACAAAGGGAATGAACAATTCATAGAGAAAGTTCATATGTAAAAAAAAGCATATGTAAAGCTGTTTATATGCATGGGGAATTAGGAATATGTTGATGAAAGGAACAGTGAAGTATAGTTTTACAGCCATCCTATTGACACACTTAAAAGCCTAATAATGCTAAATGCAGTTGAGGATGTGGGGGAGTAAAGGAGATTTCTACACTGGGTTGAGGGTAGTAATCGATATACACTTAGAGAAAATTGGCTATGTCTGGTAAAGTGGAAAATGCTTGTAGCTAGCATTTTGACTTCTAAGTGTACACCCCGAGGAGATTCTTGTACATTTGTACAAATATATTCATTGCAACATCATAAAACGAAAATTGGAAGTGACCTATGTTTTCCTGGTTTGGGTTTGCATACATAAATTCTGGTATATTCAGACAAGGGAATGTCATAGCAATTGAAAGGAAAATAGTCAAAACAAAACAAAACAAAACAAAAAAAAAAAAGGAAAATAGCCAAATAGCCATCATTGAATAAGAAGCAATCAAGTTGTAGAAGGATAGATAAAATTATGACATTCATGTAAACTTTCAAAATGCAAAACAATTCTGTTGTTTTAGACAGAAAAATGTGTGATCAAAGTATATGAAGGAAAGAACATAGTGTGTATAGTAACTTTGGATTATTCATTTTATCAGGAAGAAAGAAGGGAAATATGTAAAGAAGAGGAAGACTACAACTTGTATTTTATTTCCTTAAAAATAACAGAAGTAAAGGTGGCAAAATGTTAACGTTTATATTATCTGAATGGTAGGTTGGACTGTGGTCATTAAATGCATATGTGCTTTTTTTCTGTTTTTTTTTTAAACTACAGCCATATTTTTTAATATAAAATGTTTTCAAGTGTACTATTCCCATTGTCTGCTTTCTGAGAGAGCTTGACTTATTGAAAAGTCATATCATATTGGATGTATTCTTTTCCTAGGACAGGAAGTATAATAAACATATTCTTTTTCCAGGACAGGAAGTATAATAAACATACTCCATTTCCAGGACAGAAAGTATAATAAACATATTAAGCAATTGTTTGCATAATATATTTTACATAAAGTGTCCTCTGACTAAAAAAAATTGTTTTTCCTTTTCAGACAGCATGTTTTCGTGAAGAAAGGGATGTATTAGTGAATGGAGATAATAAATGGATTACAACTCTGCATTATGCTTTCCAGGATGACAATAATTTAGTAAGAATCATTTCTATGTGTTTCTATATTCTTATTAAATTTTTATTGGCAGAATTTAGTATTATTCTCTTCTAAGCATTATTTAAATGTAGTTATTTAGAAAAGCACGAATTTCACAGCATATAAATTGTGTATTTAATATATCCTCCCACCCTGAGTAATTTGATAGCTTTCCACTGGAATATTTTATCCTTTTTAATAAACAAGTCTAAACTAAATCCCAACATTCAGATTCTTTAAAAGGTGTTCAGGATTTTTCTTTTCGTGCTTTTCCCAATATGTTTTATTTGTAGTATTCTATGGCTATTTGGCACTTTACAAATTTTTCAAAGTGGCCATGTGCTGCTTGAAGTAGAGAGCCACATTTAAAATCTAGGCTGCATGACGCCTGGGTGGTTCAGTGATTGAGCGTCTGCCTTTGGCTCAGATCGTGATCCTGTGGTCATGGAATTGAGTCCCACATCGGGCTCCCCACAGGGAGCCTGCTTCTCCCTCTGCCCATGTCTCTGCCTCTCTCTGTGTCTCTCATGAATAAATAAATAAAATCTTAAAAAAAAATCTATACTTCATCTGATTTTATATGGACATCACAAACCACATGACAGAGGAAGTTAGGAATGAGGTCAGAGGAATATTGAAATATGAGAATCACGGCTAATTCAAGATTGAAGGGATCAACAAGGGAACAGGGAACCCACCACCACTGGGTGTACAACTCCTGGGCCTACTGATTGAGGTTCTTGATCTCCAGGCCCAAGTTTTCATTTTGGGTTTTTTTTAGCATGTGTGTGTTGAGCTCCTGCTGTGTGCCAGACACAACATTGTATACTGGGGTATAAAATGAATAAGATGTCTTATTCACATGATGGGTGTTTATTGGACATGTGCCATCTGCTTGGCATTGTTCTCTAGATTCTGGAGATTCAGTAGTAAGACAAAGGATCCAAGGTAAGATAGTGAATCCAAAGTCAAGTAAATGATACTTTCAGATTATTTCAGATGAAGAATGTGTAACATTTCTTCAAAGGTGTGAAGTCAATGGGGACACTTCTAGGACAAATATAAATTAGTTAAACCAAGAAGGGAGAAGAGGCAGAGGGCTTGGTGAACCAGAATGTTGAAATTGAAGCTCGTTTCGTTTGCACTGAGAAGGATGGATGAAGGGTTGGGGTTGGAGAGATCAGAGAGTCACATCATATAGCACCTTACATGTTATAGTAAAGAAATTAGACTTTTACATCCATGTTTTTCAAAACAATGGGATTTTCTTGGTCATGGAACTCTTGTGTATATTTTAGAATGACATTATGTCTGCAAGCCAAGACAGTGAGGTCTTAACTGGTTTCTTAGCTTCTTCCTTCTGCCTCCCCTCGTGATGACTTAGGTGTCTCGCACAGAGCAAAGTGTGAAACTGCTGTTTGAGGACTGTGGAGAGTCTGTGGTGGGAGGGGACAAGAGATGTGTTTGAGGGACTGGAAGAAGCCAGTGTAATTACGGTAGCGAAAGGGAGGGAGTACAAAATGGTGCTTCAGACAGTGGTGGATGCTGAGGATCTAGGATCGATTCTGATTTCAGGAAAGGCTTCAGGGGAGAGTGTGAAAAATTATTAGTTCTCCAGCATCTGACTTGTGGTTTTCAGTGCTTAGTCGTTGATGAATTGAGTTAGGAAATATATTTGGGAAGGGAAACTTTAGAGCAGAGGGAAGGTGATTAGTTTAATTTGGTATGTATTGGGTTTGAAGTATTGTGTGATCCACTTAGTGACTTAGGGATATAAGTCTGGTGCTCCTGAGGGTAAATAGCACTATATATATCTTATAGGGTTCTTATCTTGTAGATCAGTTTTTGGCAAACTACAATCTGCAGCTCAAATTTGACCCACCTATATTTTTGTACAGCCCACAAGCTAAGAATTGTTGTAATATTTTTAAATATTTGAAAAATCAAAAGAATATTTTGTGACATGCAAATGTTATATTAAATTCAGATTTCAGTGTCCGTAAAGTTCTGTTGGGATGCAGCCATGCTTGCTGATCTGTATGTTGCACAATGATGGCAGAGTTGGCTTCTTATGTTAGAGGGGAACACCATACATATGCATTAACTCTGGATGCTGTGCACTGCTGCTCAGCAGGCTACAAATTTCTGTGACAGTTACGACTTCATAGTATTTCTGGTGCTATACACATTGCTATACTATGATTTTAATACTCTTGTTATTGACAGTACACACACAGACTTCACATACCTTACTTTTCAGGCACAGTGGAGTGTGGGTTATATTGTTAACAAATTAAAAGCCAGCCTGGTGTTACTGTGCATCCACACCGAGGCTGTCCTGCTAGCATGGCGGGCGTCCACGTGGCCAAACCGAGCACCCCTTGCAGCCTTCCCAGTGCACAGGAAGGCAGCCATCCGGAAAGTAAAAAAATGTAAAACAATATCTTATCACAGCAGAACTTTCACAAAAAGGCAAAATGAGCCTTTGTGAGCTCCTGAGTGGCTCGTTTGTTAGCCAGGCAGGAAGGCCATTTACCAGTGTTGAGTTAATTAAATTACATTTGACTGCCGGAGCCAAAGAAATGTGTTCATGGAAAATAAACTTGTCTTGCACTATTAGCCCTTTGGCAAGAACAGTTGCTTTAAGAATGGGGTACATTGGGAAAAACATCATTGTTTGATTTTAAAACCAGGAAATGATTTTGAGTGGGTTGCTTTTGGCTTCTAAGTTAAAGAGGTTACAGGTCCTGCTCTTTCATTGTGATTTGAGGGGTAGTCCTGAGGAATAGCCTTTATTAATAGTTCGTGTGGAATAATTATAGCCAATAATATGTTCACAGAAGTTGAGGAAACACTAATTTGCTACAACCTGCATTGGAGTTTGCTATGATGTATTACAACTCAGAGTGGTAAAAATACATGTGGAGCAGGAAGAGACTTGGTCAGACAGCTTTACAAATTATGTAAACATGTGAGATGCCCAAACCCCATAGGTACTCATCACTTATTAATCGGCAGGTGGTTGGCAGCAAATATTTGAATTTCTCATTTTTTTTTTCGGCTCTGTAGATTTGAATCTGTCATTTGTTTTTTTGAAACAGTAATATCACCAGTGAGCTTCATTTAGTCTTATGGAAGCACTGTTATCATATCCGTGAATTTTTGTGAGAAATCAAAACTGAATATCCTCACTTGCTATATACATTCAGCCATTTAGTGCTTTTTCAGTGTTAATATTTTGTTGCAAAGGGCCACGATTGAAACATTGATGAAGAAAAAAATCTCACCCACAACCATTATTACAAATATTGAATATCTTTGAAATGAGCTTTTCTGTAGACTTGATATGTTTTAAAAATAAATTTTATCTAGAATTATAAGATGAAACCGCACTTACATGTAAAACTTACACTCTGGTGAAGTAATTTTGACAGCTAACATTTGTAGGAATCACAAGTAATGTCAAGGTGCTTTATCTAATTCTCATGCTGTCACAAGTAAAAAGATGAGATCTCTATTTCCCACAGATTTGCAGCAGATAGACCTTTTGAGATCTAACTATAGTTAGCATCAGGTTTTGGGATTTGATGCAAGAGCTAAGGAAATGTCCCTAGTTCAAAACCCGGTTACTGGCACTTGTGACCCTCCACCTAACCTTTAGCTAGAAGTGATTCATCTGCAGTGTATCAGCATGTTGGAACCACAAGTATCAAGAATTTAATAGCATTCTGTAAATGCCTTCCAAGTGAGGAATATGCTCAATTAAAATTATATGCTCATGAATTGCGACCAGTAGCCATCTTTGTGAGGATATTTTCACAGATGAAATATGTTAACTCTCATTGCAGATCAACACTTGGAGAGGAACATTAGCCATAAGATTTTGATGATAGGGAAAAAATCTGACTTTGAGCTCCAATTAAGCAAACATACTCTCCTTCCCCACAAAAAGAATTACATTTTTTGGTTAATACACCTATATTACAAAACTCAAAATCACTTATTATTTTATTTTGACTTTTGCCAATAAAAATGTATGGAAATTTGTTTTCTGTCTTACTATCTTTCTTTTTCCCCTTGGTCTGCCAAGCCTGAAGTGTTTATTTACTCTCTGACCCTTTATAGAAAAAAATTGGCCAGCTCCTCTTACAGATAACAGTGAATACTAGTGGTAAATGAGAATAACTGGTGCTTGTACAAGGAGAAAAGTTTGCCTGGAGAAGACAGAGATCAAGGACCTAATAAGGAGTAAGAAAGAGAAACAAGGTTCTGCACCATTGAACCAAAAGAGTTTGTCGAGGTGGAGGGATGATTTCTCAGTAGTGTTAGACACATGAGAGTAGTTTTTTTTTTTTTTTTAAAGATAAACTGGAAATGTCATGCCCACCCACAAATCTTATTCTCGGCCTCAGTGGAATACCTCTGTTCTTGGACATTGTTTGTACTCTTCTACTTTTGCCTTTATTTCTGTTATCTCTGGTACTTTCCAGACCAGGGCTGTTCTTCTCCCTGTTGTCCTGTGGAAGTCCAGCTGATACTCCAGAATTGTCTCAAATTCCGCATTTTAAGTCTTCTCCAGAATTCCCAGTTTGAAGTAATCTTTCTCATTTCATTTTAGCTCTGCATTTTTTTAGTACTGCTAATATATGACTGATGTACAAATTTATATACATCTCTGACTTTTGGGGTACAGTTTAAGATTAAATAAATGATATGAACCTTCTGTCTTTAGCTAAAATGTACTTCCAGGGGTGTGTAACTTAGTAGTCATGGAGTTTATCTGATACAGGCAGATCCAGGGGGTCAAACAGTGTCATCACCATTTTTTATATCCCTTACACGCTTGCAGGTTATCATAGTGTTTCAGACTTCAGATTGTGACCCGTGGGTGGATTGTAAAATCAATTTAGTGGGCTACAATCAGCATTTAAAAACTTAAATAAAATAGAAAATGACAAGAGTTCAAGCAGTAAGAGGGATTATTGCTTTGTGATGTTTAT